TTTACATTATATTTTTCAAAATATAATATTACACAAACCCACGCGGTCTTATAAGCGATATTAATACTTATACACTAGTGTGTTTGTTTTGTATTTTAATTTGATATATATATATATATTTATGTAAAATATAAAAAATTATATAATTAATATAAAAATAATGAATATATGTAGTATATAATTTTACTAAAAAAATATGTAAAAAATCAATCTTACAAAAGAAACATACCAAAATCTTAAAACCATCAAGTAGTATTCAATTTCTTAATTAGTGTAGGTAGATTAAGAGATTTAGAAAAACTATATATATATATATGTATAGTCACATATGTAAATCTTCTTTATTATTTTAGAATTATAAATAGTCTTTATCCAATATTAGATATGCAATTTAAAAATTTTGGCAAAATTGATTCTCAAACACCGAAGATGTTTATGCAATATCATCAGAATATGTGAGAAATAACGTTGAAATAAGTGAACAATTTTGTGAGACTTTAAAAAAAGTGACAAAATTGAAATATTTTGGATTTTCTCTTTTACCGTTTCAAATTTAAATTAATATTATTCAGCCGGCATAATTTTCAGTAAAAATATATTATTTCTCACAAAAATCGTAATTAAAATACTATTTAAACAAAAACTTTAATCAAGATCTTATTTCAAATTAACTTTGTTGAGTACAAAAAATATTAATAATAATAATAATAATAATAATAATAATAATAATAATAATAATAATGGCAGTAGGATTCTTGGGTCTGAATATAAGCCAAACGACCCAAAAGTCGAGCAAAAAATGAAGTGCAAAGAAAGAAGTATTGGCAGACACGGAGGTCGGACAGGATAAGGTCGGGCAAAGAAAAAGTATCGGTAGACACGGAGGTCAGACATGATAAGGTCGGGCAAAGAAAAAGGATGAGACGGCTGATACGGAGGTCGGTCAAAAGAGGAAGTTGGGCGAAGAAGGATGAGACGGCCGATACGAAGGTCGGTCGAAAGAAAAAGTCGGGCGAAGAAGGATGAGATGGCCGATGCGGAGGTCGGTCAAAAAGAGGTCGGACGAAAGGAAAGGTCTGTTAATTGATCGGGCGAATAAAGGGTCTGTTGGTTGGTCGTTTAATTAAGCGACCTGTTAATTGCCTGATCGATTGGCCGGTCATTTGGTCAAACAGTAATTCAGTTGCTTGAAAGGGCGGTCAGTTGGTCTTAATTGGGTGACCAATGAATCGTCTAGACGAATGGTTGTTCAGCCGATTGAAGGGACCAGATGGTGGTCGCTTGATTGGGCGACCAATGAGTCGTTTGGTCTAGCGACCAGTTAGTATCTGGATTGGTCGGTTGGCCTGCGGTCCGTCTGAGGAGCCAGGGGTTATTTTGGGCGGCTGAGTAGCCGGTCGGGCCAGCCGCCCATTTAAGGCAGTAAGGTGTTCAGAGGCGGTCGCCCGAGCCAGTTGAGTCCTATAACTGGCGCGAGCGGTTGGTGAGTCGGTTAACACACGTGTCGACAGAGGAGGACCTTGTGGGTGGTTGACAGCGGTTGCTGTAACCGACCAGACGGCGGTTCAAACCGTTTCTTTAAAGGGTTATTTAAGAATTCGGGTCTGTTCTGAAAAATCATCTTCAATCGACATCAAATTCACTGGAATTTCTTTTGGGGATCACCATTTTATTTTTTCAGTCAGTAGTAGTTTATTTTCTAGTTTATTTATGTATCGTACGGTGTCTAGAGATTCTTAATGTCAGACATTTATTTTATCAAATTCAAAGATAATTTTTATTTTCGGATTTTACTTTTTATTGTTGAAAATCGGCATCAACAAACTTAACTATTTGTATGATAAGAAAGAGCAAACAAATGCAACAAAATGGAGGCTTCATTGAAGAAAGAGAATAACATATACAGGTAGGGATGACAATGGGGCGGATTTGGGCATATTTGCAGACTTCAGAACCTGTTCCATCAGAAAATATATTTATATATTTTTTTTCTTATTTATAAGTTGTTGGGTTCTGAATCGATTTGGAACATTTGTAAATCTGCAAAATAAAAATTTTCGACAGAAATTATTAGCGAATTACAAGATTAAAGAAAGTCAAGAATTTAAATAAAGAATCAAGAAATTGACAAAAAATTTGATGGAAGCACTCGGATCAAATCACATTCACTCTCTTCACCAGACTCCAAGTCTTTCTATGTTGCCGACACCACTAAGTGTTAGATCGTTGGTACACCAAGGAACCTGAATAGATGGACAAAAATCGGACTGACAGAAGACTAGAATAAGGTCGACCAGACCCGCCACAAAAAACACCTAGAATATCGATTTTACTTGGTGTTAAATGAATAGAAAAATCCCATATATATAGATGAGGTGAGAAGAAGATAAACACCCCAAAGTTTATCGATAGTAACAAACCCGTTGAGAGAGCGATGAGATTAGAACATGCGAGATTTAAACGAGCATAAAAGAAAATATTAAAACCTGATTTTATCATAGAAGAACAGATTTGGGAGAAGAAAGAACCGCTCAAAAAATTTGGGAGAGGATCAGATTTTAGATTAGATTTTATGATCGGCTGTTCACAAATCAAATCGGGTTGGATTCGGCTCTTGGTTGTTCGACTAAAACATACCAACATAGTTATATAACATATAATTAAAAAATCAAATATTATGTAGCATTAAGTATTTTAATTTTAAAAATTTTTAAAATAAAAATAATAATATATTTTCAATTGCAGTAGCATTACAACAACATAATAATGATTGGTTGAAAAACATGATAAATCGAATTATGCAAAACATAAAGTTGTGAAATATTCAAAAATATAAAATTATAAATTTAGATAATATAAATGATTATATATAATATAGTAGTATAATTTTTATAATTATTCATTTTTAGGGGTGTGTTTGTGTGGGGGTTTGGATTTTGAGTTGAGATTTGAATAGTAAAATTTTTAAATTTGAAAGTTGTATGATGTGATATTTTGAATGTAAAATTGATTTTTAGTATAATACTCCCTCCGTCTCAGATACAGTGTCTGCTACACTGTAGACACTATATCTTAGGAGGGGTGTAATTAGTAGATAATTAAGAATGTATTAGTGAAAATAATTATCCTATAATATAAATAATTATAAATTAAAATTAAGATAACTAATTCGTTTAATTAAAATTAAAAAAAATAAAATTTAAAAATTTAAAATGAAATTAAAGTGTGTAATCATTTTTCAAAAAATAAAAATGACATGGTATGTGGGACGGACAGAAACGGCAACTTGGACATGGTATCTGGGACGGAGGGAGTATAAAAAATAAAAAATAAGTGTTTAATTTGATATTTTTTAGAAAAAAAATGAAATAAATAGTGTATTTAAAATCCAATCCCCGAACAAATGATAATTTGGAACGAAGCCCAATTCATAATAGATTTTATCAAACCCATAACTCATCGGAGTCCGGCCTAATTTAAAATCTTAAAACACATAATCGATTTTACTATACGCCACATCGGGCATAAGAAAAATAAAAAATAAAAAAAATAAAAAATAATAATAATAGTAAGTATACATCCACTTTTTTTGAATTTTAATATGATGTATATTCTTTCAATAAAAAATATAAAAATTAATAATTTCTCTGTGGTTTAATAAGTATATATTTATTTTTATGTAATTTAATAAATATTACTATTTTTATCCGGTTCAAAAGATTATATTTATCTTTTGCGTCATTGTATTTAACATTAAAAATATTTTTATATTTGTATAATTTTTTTGTATAAATGTTATTTTATTAGTATTATAAAACACTATTTTTTCAATTTTTTCTTAATTTGTACTATATTTTGACATAATAATTAATATTCAAATATCAACACGCAAAAAATAAATTGGACCTTTAGAGTCAGACAGAGGTAGTATATTTTAATGATAATTAGTGATATTTTAGTATGTAATGACTATTTTATTTATATGATATGTAAAATTAATACTCCCTCCGCCCCGAAACTAAATATCCATTTGCTTTTTGCACGTAGTTTTATAAATATTAGTATTATATTGGGATATAGTAGGAATAAAGTAGAAATGACTAAAATAATCTTATTAATATGTGTGATATAAAGGTAATGACATTTGTGTAATATATTGTAAGTTGTAAGAGTATTTGTAATGTTAGGTATAGAGTACGGTTACTAAAAAAAAGGAAATAGATACTTTGTTATGGGACGGACTAAAATAGAAAAATGGATACTTTGTTTTGAAACGGAAGGAATACGAGAGTATTTGTGTAAATAAATATAAATGTGAAAGTTTTTGGTAATATGTAATGAAGTTCATATATATTAAAAATAAAGTTTATGAATCGCTGGTTACGGTTCTAACCGCCGATTTATTATATATATTTATTTTTAATATTTTTTTTATTTTCTATTTTTTTAAATTTGAATTTTATTTAAAAATAATTAAATTTAATATTAATTTTATTCAGATATATTTATTATTTATTTATTATGTAAAAATCATATATATAAATAATTAATTAAATTTTTACATTATAAAAATAATTAAAATAATAAATTTAGTATATAATTAATTAAATTTTAAATAAAAATAAATTATAAAAATATTAATATGATAAAAAATTACAAAATTTAAAATATAAATAATAGTATTATTTTTTTCAATATTATCAATAATTATTTATATTTATTACAATAAATATTATTTTTATTTTATAAAAATTTAATAATATATAAAAAAATTAATTATAAATATAATATTATTATTAATACACACAATTTTCCCTAAATCCCTAATCAACACATTTACACGTACTCATCCACAGCCGCCGCAGCCACACGCCACCAAGTTCCTCCTCCCTCTATTATCCTTTCCCCGTTTCGGTTTGAACCGGAACCGGCGAACCGGCGGTTCGAACCGACGGTTCGAAGCCGAACGGGCAAGTCTACAGTTCTACCGAACACTTAGATTAAAAATTTCCCTAAAATTCTCTCCCAGAACAGCGCCATCCTTAATTACCCCGTCGTCCGTCGTCGCGTCTTCGTCTCCGCCTCTCCTTCCGTCGCGTCGCAAGGGCAAGAGGGACCTGCCCAATTGAGGTATCGTGTTTGCTTACCCAGCTTCCAAACCCTAGAATTTTGGTGTCTTGCTCGAGATTGTTCAAACCCTAGACATGTATTTGCTTGCCGCGTGTTTTTTCGGTTGGATTTTGGGTATTTGAATGAATGATTGTTGCTGTGATTTTCTTGTCTTTGCATTTTAGGTGAATTGCTTTGAGGTTTTCTGGTTTGCTGCTGTATGGTGCATCTAGGTTTTTACAAAGGTGGCGATTTGGTTAGGCCGATTTTGTATGTTAGTTCTTCCATTTGGTTTTAATTATACATATTTTCCTCCTGAAGTATTCTTTGATCGATTGAGAAGTTCTGGACACGGTTTTTTGTGGGTCTTTGTTTTCCCTGCATTTCTCATAGAGACTGACTCAGCTTCTGGTGCCTTATTTTGAGCGAATTAATCTGATTAGTAACATTGCTTTTCTATGAATAGTTGATGTAGTAAATTATTTGAAAACTTACAATCTGCCTACTTTGCTTGTTAATAACATAAAAACAGATTGATTTGAAAAAAAAAAAAAACAGAAAGAAAAAAAAAAAGAGATTAGGATTTATGTAGATGTGCGAGCATTGATATTTCTATCTACTTTGAATATAGTATTTGAAATTGCTATTGTGATTAGCACGTAGTAGAGCTTAGGACACATTCATACCTTTATTCATATGTTTGGAAATCTAAGATGCAAGCCATGAGATTAGTTATGTGATGTAGCTTGATTGATGCTGTTTCACATATTTTTCATTTAAATTGATTTCCTTTTTGGTCAATTATCCTACTGTTGTACTTAATATCAGTACCATACATACTTTGACTTCTTTATTTTTATTATATGTTTGGCTTTTGATGAGTTTAAGTTATATGCTCTGACTATTCTGAATTAGTATTTGTCAATAACTGCTATCGATAGTATTTGGTGCTTTAATTAGTTCATATTGTTGCTATTGGATTTTAAGCATTCTAAGTGGTTTGCTAAATCTCACTTGCCTATATCATTACCATTAACTAGAATAATGCATAAGTTTCATGCCCTCCAATGTGAATCTCCACTTATCTGTTTTGTCAGCCCAATGTTTCATGTGAAGTTAATGTAACTTATGCTCTTCATTGGATCATCAATTCTTAAAATGAAATGTGTCAAAGTTTTGGATCATGCCAGCCATTCCCCGTCCATTAGTTTGATCAAAATTCTAAATGTTCTTGTCTGTGCTTTTGCATGTAAGAAAATACTTATTTGTATGTTGGTTTTTTGAATCTATTTGACTTCTGTTATGTATAGGATTAGTTGTTCTGCAAACTATTATAGATTAATTTTGACATTTCCTACATCCAATCTATGTCAATGCTCCTTCTAGTTATATCACTTACTTTGCAATTCATATTTTCAATATACTATAAAGTATACTTTTCGTTTATTAACCCTAGGAGCTTACTTTTGCCATGAAGTGGAGGGGGTTACCTGCATCTGCTTAAGGGGGGTTAACTATGTAGAAAATGTTGTATTAAATAACCATTTTAGAGTGTTTTATGTGTCATTCCCTTCGTAGAATGATGGAAATCTGTGTGTTGAGGTTGCAAGCAGAGCTGTGGAGGAGTTGGATTTGTTCAAGCTTGTATCTTTGATTAGAAAATTCTTAACTGAATTATATGATATATTGCAGAATATACAGAAACTAATATTTGTGGGCTTGTGAACATGAAGGAATGCATTAGCAAAGGAGGGATGCTTTGTAGAAAGAATGGGTCAGGATATGGTTCTGTTCATAAACAAGCATTTTATGTATAAACCACTGTGGATGTTAATCAACATTTTGCTTTAATTTTTTAATTTGGATGTTTAATTGTGTATGTTCTCGTATTAGAATTGAATGATGTATGGCCAAAATACATATATTCGACCGAACAAGCCAAATTTCCGAAGTTGTCTCTGTTTTTGACTTGTTGTCATTTGACAAATCCTCTTTTTGCTCTGTATATTCAATTATAGATTATTATGACTTTTTTTCCCTTAAATTTATATTTTAAATTCTCATTTCAAATTAGAATATGACTCAAACTCAATAGAGTGCAGTATCACTGAATATTGTGACGTGGGGAAGAAGCGATGCTTTCAGGACTTAAGTTCATACCGCGGGATCAAATCAACGAGGTAAGTTTTAGTTCATAAAAGTTCCTATGGTTAGGGTTCCTATGTCTATGCTCCTCCAATTCCTTTTTGTTTATGTGGGCTTATGAAAGCATACATCTAGTTTCTTTTTCTGGGAAGTAAGAATATTTAATTGTTGGCTCTGAATTGTTATCCATGAATTTCCATTTTCTGATTCCCAATCATTGGCCACTAAAAATTAATTTATCTTACGGGTTTTATTACTTTTTTGTTTAAGGAAAAGGAGGATATTGCCCACAATTCCAGAAAAAGCAAGAGTAAGTCTGCTTATAGAAAAGAAAAGAGGGGGGCAAAATCTAAGCGTTCACATTATAGCAGTTCTGATGATGAAGGTCCTCAGAAAATAAATGACTCTAGGAAGAAAAAGAGGTGGTATGACTCGGAAGAGGATTTATCTTCACAATCAGGAGAAAGTGGCAGCCTAAGTGATCCAGAACATGGAAAGAAGAAACACACGAGTGGGAGACGAGAGAAGAAAAGACATGATGGTAACTCAGGTAGTGAGTATAAAAGCCGCTCAAAGAAGAAGGGAAAGTCTAAAAGAAAAGAGTATTCCTCAGATAATGAATCTTCGAGTGCTTCAGAAAGTGAAAAGTCGATGAGGGGTATGCATTGTGACATTGTCTAACAAATTACCATGTTTTGGCTATGATTTTGTTACTTTATATGACACTTATTTGACATGTTAAATCAGATGAAGGTAAAGGATCAGAACCACAGAACTCCAATAGCACTTTGAGGAAAGAAATGGGTTTGGATTGGATGCTTCAGCCAAAAGACAATTCAGAGAGGATTTCTGATAAGTCTTCACACATTGAGCCAGTGGAAGCTCCTGCTGAAGAGGTATACACCAAAATCTGTTGTGTGAATTAGATACATCGTAAATAGAAAAAAAGAATCAATCAAAGATGAGATTTATGTATATCATCCACCTTTTTCTTGAACTGAATTCCTTTTTACTTGTTACAAAGTGATTTACAATTGTTTTCCATCAAATCTGCTAAAAGGTAATTCTGTGCAACATTAATATTTGATACAGGTCATTGTGAAAATAGGTTTCAAGTGTTAAACAATTTAATGGTGGCAGTTCACTTATTTAAAGGAGAAATAGCAATAAGGTTATAGTTTTTCAACTAATCTTGTTTAAGACCTTAGAGTGTATTTTTATGTTCGTAGCTTAACTTGTTTTTAATCTTGAGTTATTGTGTATTTTTTTTTTTTTTTAATTGGCATTGGAAACTGTTTTCAACTCAAGGAAAAAGTTGAATCATGGATAGGTTTATATCGATGACGAATTATATCTATCACAATTGTATCATAGTAATTGCAATATAACAGTTATATCAAATAAATGCTTAGAAAAAAGAATGCAAACATGAAGTTATGCAGATTTCATTAAGTTCGCTTTGATTTTGACTATGATCATGAGGTTTGATTAATTTTTTTGGATCCTGTCACAAGTTAAAGAAGGATAATCCTAGGGAACTAAATCCATATCTGAAAGATAATGGGAGTGGTTATCCCGAAGAGTCTGATGAAGCTCGGGACAAACAGCTTTTATCTACTGTTGTTGTTGGTGATGGTGGTGCTAGTTGGAGGCTTAAAGCTTTGAAAAGGGCCCAAGAGCAAGCAGCCCGTGAGGGAAGACAACTTCAGGAGGTATATAGTGTAAATTCTGTTCTGTGACTCAGCTCATATTTGATCTATTATATCGCATCTCTTATGATGATGCTTTTGATTTATAGGTTGTTGAAGAGAGGTGGGGTTCGATGGGGCATTTTGCTGCTTCTGTAGCATCTCGTGGTGTTGCCCCAACTCATGCTCATCTTCAAGCCATTAAAAGCAGGAGGAGAGGATGGTCGGTGGATGATCAGAAAAGTGTGGTTGAAGAAAATGACGAGACCGAGAAGGTAAAGATTAACCATATTACAAAGCGTTGAAATTAACTTTACTATATCCTTATGCTCAATAGACATTGTTGTCTTCTTGCCATACGTAAGAAGATACACTTCATCTGAAGTCTTGTGTATTTATTTGACATCAGAATTTTGAAAAGAGAAGTGTTGAGGAATCACGCCGACAGAATTACAAAATGAGAGTGCCAAAAAACAATGATACACTATCTTGGGGAAAGAGGGAAAATAAAAAACTGTCAGCCGAGGATAGTGCTCTAGTCTCTGTTGCACTGTCCAGTTTAAATAAGTTCTCAAATGATGGAAACTTCATGGACAAATTTATCGGTCAAAATAAGGGTAATTCTGGTGATGTTGGCACTTCGTCGGATCAAAAAGAAAGATCAGACTTGGAATCCCCTGGATCTGCATTAGAAGACACCAGAGAGAATTCCGGAACAGTGAAACCAGCAATGAGTGCAAACCAGCTGGCTGCCAAAGCCTTGCAACTTCGGATGAAAGGGAATCATGAGGGAGCAGAAATATTATTGGTATGGAATTATTTTGTTATTATTTGTCCTATTTTCTTCAGAAAATATCCTATTTAATATTTCCATCAAAAGCCCCTATGGGAATACTGTTATGTGATATTCTGTGTTGAGAGATTATGAGCATGCTTGATGGATTTGAGTAATTCTTATTCTGGATGTTGAAATCCGTGATGAGGATTGTATATTTGAAATGTTTTTAATTTGATTTTTATTAAGCATGTTACAGTATCCGCCCTTTGCATTTGTATGAAATTTATTTTCTACATTTTATATTTTTTCTTTCAGATTCTTAACGAGTACCTGCTTTGGATGGACTTAATATATTACCTAATGCCAAATTACATTCGATTATTATGATGTGCATATCTTTCCTTTGTGAAGAAACATGAAATTTACAGTTACAATCTGATGATGTATTTAGTCATATGATGTCAGCTTCAGATCTATAGTTGTAGGTTTATTTTTCCCTTTGTTCTGCAATTTGATCTTGTTTTATTGTTTTTCCCTCAGAAAGAAGCCGAGAAAATCAAAGAAAAGCAGAATGTTGACAATGAATTTAGTAAACCCCGAATTGATGGGACAAGAAGCAGGTTCTTTGGATTTTACTGTTTTCGAAAAATGCATTAACTTTTTGTTTATCCTTTTAATGTTTCTATCTCATAATAATATCTGATGTGGTTGTATATATAGGCTTATTATGCACGATGTCTCTGCTAAACAAAAAAGGAAAGAGGATGATGCTGATCTGCATCTCGCCCAAAAGATCATGCATAATCATCGGTACAACACATCTAATCAGGCAGATGAAGAATATGATTACGATGATGCTCCTAGGAAAAGGAATCGGAAGAAAGGGGGAGATGGAAATAAAAAGTCATCGTCTGAGATGGTTAATCATGCAAACCGGTTCTTAACCCAGCAGGAGCGCTGCCAATTCTGCTTCAAGAATCCTTCAAGACCCAAGCATCTGGTTGTCGCCATTGCAAACTTCACCTACTTGTCATTGCCTCAACAGCAGCCCGTGGTTCCCGGACATTGTTGCATTTTAACCTTGCAGGTGTGTAGACTTACCCTTTCTCTTCATTTGTATTGATTTGCTACTTATAAATTGTTTTCCTTACTCATCCTCTTAAGAACCCTGTTTTGAGCCTGATAGTCCCTTGTCTGCTTGCTTGCAATCTTGTCGATCTTTCGAAATTAATTATTTTACTGGACCAGCAAGATTACATGTCTTCTTTGTGTGTTTTGCAGCATGAGTCTTCCACAAGAACTGTCGATGATAATGTCTGGGATGAAATTCGGAACTTCAAGAAATGCTTGATAATGATGTTTGCGAAGCAGGAAATGGACGTAGTGTTCCTCGAGACGGTAATGGGGCTGGCGCAACAAAGACGCCACTGTATGGTTGAATGCATCCCATTGCCACAACACGTCGCAAAACAGGCTCCCGTTTACTTCAAAAAGGTATTTCCATTGAATAGAATTTATTTCAGAACATTCTTTTGCCCGCAACCATCATAATTCACGGAATGTAAGTGTAATTTACCAAAAGACAAATTTATGTGGAACTTGTGGATTGAAAAGTCTGCACTATATTTATTTAATTCATTTTATAAAATCTCATATTATTTTCTAAATTTCGAACAAGTTTCATGCAGATTTTAAATTATAAGCAATTTTGCCAAACAAAAATTAGTCTTTTTTCCTAATCATGTGATGACTTGGTGCAGGCAATCGACGAGGCTGAAGATGAATGGAGTCAGCACAATGCGAAGAAGCTGATCGACACTAGCGAAAAGGGTCTCAGAAGTTCAATCCCGAAGAATTTCCCTTACTTCCACATCGAATTTGGACTGAAGAGGGGATTCGTTCATGTGATAGATGACGAAAGACAGTTCAAAAGCAGCTTTGGGCACAATGTGGTCCGAGGCATGCTGCAACTGCCGGCTGAGGACATGAACCGGCGCAGCAGCCGGAGATATGAGTCGGTAGAGATACAAAAGCAGGCGGTTTCCAGTTTTGCGCGCGACTGGGAGCCTTTCGACTGGACCAAGCAACTGGATTAGCTGTGTTTCTCCGTTTAGTATCGAGTTTCGGTTTACTGTATGAGCTTGAGCTATTATTTTGTGCTATTATCATGTTCGGTAAGCATTACTATTATATTACCATTCAATTTTGTGTTGAGATCGATTATGATGTATATATATATATGTTGTGTACATCGTGTCTATTCTTTTTCTTTATTTTTCTTCTGCTTTGCTTTTTTTTCACCCCTATGGGACACTTCAAATATTATAATTTAAATTTGATTACTTACGTTATCGTGTAACTTAACAGAAAATGATTATGGTCTGAGTTGACATGAAACGATGAATTTTCAAGATATTCAAAAAATAGTATCATCCGAAGATGATGATTGATGATTTATAAGTGAAATTATTTTTTTCAAGATATTTTATACGGATTTTTAGCTTCGATTATTAAAATTTTTAAAATCTTTTAATAAGTTTCAAATATGATCAAATTTAAGATCTTTTTGAAACTTGCATATTTTTTCATTAGTATCTTATTTGTTAATATTTTATAGGTACAAATAGAACTTTTGAATTATATATATTAACAATAAATTTAAGAAAAGATTTGCAATATGCTGGTTATAAATAAAATTTTCGAATTATATATATTAACAATAAATTTAAAAAAAGACTTGCAATATTCATCTTGAAGTTCAACTGGGTTTTAAGGTTTCTATTTTTTTAAAAAACAAGTAATTTTCGAACAACTTTCTTCATGATTTGAATTTTTATTTTTGTTAAGATCTTGCACTACATATTTCCCGCTCAGGATTTTTAATTTGATTATATGCATGAGTGATTCAATTACAAATTGATCCCTGAATTATTGCATTATTGTAATTGGATCTTGCCAGATATCTAAATAAAATTCATCACAATTGTAACCACCATCTCAAATGGATATTTCGAGAAAATTTTTAATACTTTTGTTATATTAGTTTAAGAAGTGAGTTGTTGTGGTGCAATAACTCAAATGATGAAAATTTATATTTATAGATAAAAATTATGGAAAGATATCAGATCTTATCAATTGAAAAACTTAATCTCAAATGATGATTTAGATTTCATAACACCATAGCTATTTGATCAATTTTTTTTTTTATTAATCTCAATTATTTATATTATATTTGACTATATACATATATTATAAAAATGTATTTATCCATATCAAAGCAATTCAAACTGTTGATTTGGATTTCATCTTTCATTTCATTCATTGGATGGATATCATATTATCCAAATAATTATTATATATTATATATTATAAAAATCTACTTATCAAATTTTTTTGACAAATCTCAATTATTTATATTATATTTAAATATATATATATACATATATATTATAAAAAAATCTAATCAATCAATTCTTCTCATGAATGTAGACATCAAACTTTGCTAATTTGAACAATTCTTTTGGATTTTCACTTATGTGTTAGTAGGGATGAAGATAGACCAGACAGGGCTACAACCTGGCCTGTTAAGGCTTGATTTGGTCTGGTCTGTTTACTAACAATGTTAAATTTAAATATATTTTTAAGTTTTTTTTTTAAATAAATAGAACATTCTTAGACTTTACAAAAAAACTTTTTTTGGCCTTATCAGGCCGTTTGTTTATATATTTATGTAGTATATTTTTTTTTTATCTAATATATACAAATATTATATTTTTAATTGTTTATAATTCATAAAAAATAATATTTGGCTACAATAAAAAAAATATAAAATTAATTTATTTTAATTGAATGATTATATATAATAAATAATTGTATTTATTTTTTTACAAATATTAAGTTTGAAAAATAAAAAATAAAATAAAAAATATTATACAGATTTTTAAATAGGCTCGTAGGTCAGACTATACTTTAAAATAGGTAAGGTCTAGACCTTATATATATATTTTAACAGGTCGATAGGCCAGATTCAAACTTTAATTTTATAAAACACGCCGACATAGACAACTGATGAGTACATTAAAATGAGTAAATCAACCACAATTGAAAGTGTTAAGAGATTTTGTTATACCGTCGTTTACATTTTTTCAACTGAATATCTTCGACATCTTTATGTTAATGATATTGCAAGATTGTTTCATATTGGAATCTCGTAGTTTTTCAAGTATGTTGGAGAGTTTAGATTACATGCATTGGAAATGAAAAAATTGTCCTACGACTTTCACATATTGTAGTGGATCACCAACTATTATTTTTTAAGTTGTGACTGATTATGATGTTTAAATTGGACATGCATATTTTTTGGTATGTCAGGTGTTAATAATGACATTAATGTTTTAGAATTCTGGCACTTGTTTTCAAATCTTACTCTAGATATTGCCTCTCTTGCATATTATCTAACTGATGATATTTATCTTAAGTGGGCTACTTTTGTGCAAATTATTTGCGATCCACGATGTACGAAGAAAAAAATTTTTGCGCAGAAACTAAAGTGTTGTAGAAAAGATGTGGAGCGTGCTTTCGGAGTTCTACAATTACATTAGCATATAATTGTTGACTTGTTTGATTTTGGCAAAAAAAAAAAAAAAAAAAAAAAATTCTGCATGATTTGCATTATTTGCATAATATGATAATAAAATATGTACGAAATTTCAGTGCCCCTATAGAGAAGTTTTAGAAGCACTACCCCATCAGTGAAAATGGTAACCGATGAAGCCATCAAACTTCAACAATTTCTTACTTGACATAGATGAATTAGATACAAAGATGTTCATTTTGCACTCCGTAATAATTTAATAGGAGGAATATAATAACTATGCTGAATAAATATGTCGTACTTTATTTGAACTATTAATGTAATGCATGTTTTTTAAATAAATCGTTATGAATTAATACTATTATGTTATCTTTGTTTAATTATTATATAATATTTGTCTCGATAGCATTTAATTATTTATTTAAAATTATTTTATTTGTAATAGTTATTAATTATAAATGCTATTATTTATATATGTAATTTTTAAATAAAATATAAATTATATATATTTGAGTAATAATGTAAAAACAAATTAAAATTGCAGTGTAATTTCTAAATATGAAAAAATTATATAAAACAATATAAAAGAGAAATATATTTTTAGAGTGAAAACTGAACTTTGATTTGATGCTTTGGAGAAAGAGAATTCGTGAATAATATAAATTTGAGAAGTACTTTCAATTTAAATATTAAAAATCATCTCATTAACAATAAAATAATAATGACAAATATTATATACATAGTATGTAATTATACAAATGTATTAATAAATACTTAATATTTTTTTTATATATATAAACATTGGTTCAAATACTAGAACTCGAATCGAATAAGACAAATCTAAGTCCTTATACAAATTCAAACTCATATAAATTTTTGAATTAGGAAAAAAAATATAACCAATTGATAAGCCAAGAGATAGTTTAGATCCTATAAACTTCCACAACTCATAGATAGATATAACAATATTATAAATATATATATATATTATTATATACTTTGAATTTTTAAAATACACTTCGGGTGTGTTCGTTTGTAGAATTCTAACAAAATTCTACTATTCATCCAATTTTTTTCCCCCAAAAACATCAAATCAAACACCTATTTTTCATTTTTTATATTATACTAAAAATCAATTTTACATTCAAAACATCACATCAACACCTATTTATATTACATCATACAACTATTCAAATTCAAAATTTTTACTATTCAAGGGTTTGGATTTTGGATTGGGATTTGAATAGTAAAAATTTTGAATTTGAATAGTTGTATGATGTAATATAAATAGGTGTTGATGTGATGTTTTGAATGTAAAATTGATTTTTAGTATAATATAAAAAATGAAAAATAGGTGTTTGATTTAATATTTTTTGGGGGAAAATTTTGGATGAATAGTAGAATTTTGATAAAATCCTACAACCGAACACAGCCTTCGTAGACTCAAACATATTAAACTGAACTTAGTAAAAGAGTTTCAACTTATTTAAAGTATTATTCATTCCATATGACATTTTCTTATATCAATGTAGTATTTCAAAATACATTGTTATTAAAAATTTATAAACCACCAGCAAAATTTTATTGTTAGAATATTTCTAGTCGATTCTAAAAATGGAGATAATTTGATGCAAAATTTCTCCTTTCATGAAATTTCTCCTTTTGTTTTATTTTTTTGTTATAGTTGGTGTTTTAAATTTATTTCTTATATTTCTTTGATTGTTTTCATAGGTGGGGGTTGGGTTGTACGAATTTGTTCCGGAGATTTTGGATCGTTATAAAAACAATATTACATAATATAAAAATTAATTTATAACATATTATTAAAATAAAATATAAATATAAATGTTAAAATCAACAATAATTAAATTATTGGAATAGAAATGATGATACATATTAATAAGTAGAGCTGGGCCGGCTCGGTTTTTTGGGCCAGGCCGAGCTGGCACGAATCATGAGCCAGCCCAATTTTATTTCGGGTTAAAATATAAGGGCCTAAGCACGGCCCAATTTTAATTCAGGCCGGCCCGGCCTATATTTATTTAAACATATTTTTAATTTGTCCAACGAGTTTAAAATTCATAATTTCTTCGGCCAATCCAACTCCCCAAACATTCCGGTAAGCATCAACAGCGCAAAGTTATCCAAACAAAACGAGAAAATCAAACAATTCACAAAAGTCATATAGCAGTCTCATGTTGAAAAGAAAGTCCATCGTCAGTCTCATACCTAAAAAAAAAAAACCAATTAAGTATTTCAATTCAAATACCGGAAAAATGCAAAAATTCCACTATTAGTTTAACTTTTTAATCTATAAAAATAAATTCGACACTTAACGAATTATCAAGAACAAAAATTCATCCACAATCATATCTCGTTATGAAATATCATTTGAACTTTGCAAAGTAACATGGGATATATCATTTGCATTATGGCTTAAAACATCATTGGTGTAACTTTGAAATTCTTTGACAGCTTCTTCAATGTCCACGAACAAAAAAAAAATGTCAATAAAAAGAAAAAAAAAAATCAATACAATGTTAACATGAAAAACTTACATATATATATATATATATATATAATAGTTTTAAAAACATACATTTTTCCCCGGATATCCAATCTCTTAGACAAAGCAGAGCTTCAGTATTTTCACTT